CTGTAGGTCAGTGAGGTTCTGTAGGTCAGGGAGGTTCTGTAGGTCAGGGAGGTTCTGTAGGTCAGTGAGGTTCTGTAGGTCAGGGAGGTTCTGTAGGTCAGTGAGGTTCTGTAGGTCAGTGAGGTTCTGTAGGTCAGTAAGGTTCTGTAGGTCAGTGAGGTTCTGTAGGTCTGTGCCAGCAGTTTTGCTGCACATCCTGACAATCCCTGAGAGTTTGTTTCTGTAAAGTCCACTGAGATGCTGCATGTCATACATGTATAATCACAACGTGCACTCAAGTTAAAAATGTCAAATGATGTCATACAATACCTACATTTAGATTTTATTTACTGGACATTTTGTTTTACAGCGTCCACACCAGCTCCTCTGCAGAGCTCATCCTCAGACTGCCCCCCCTCCCAGGTCAGCGACCCCCCAACAGATCAGTCCCCTACTGAACTGGAGAGCATCGCCAAGGAGGACCAATCAGTGAGTGGACCTGGAGGCCGGGCCTAGTCCTGAACTCCACTGCTGTCATGTGATCTCAGCTGAATGTTAGACTGTTGTAAAGAATACATGTCAAATCAGTTAAACACTGAGGGTCAAACTGTGAAGGTCAAACACCGAAGATCAAAGAATCAAGGTCAACCATTAAAGTAAAACAGTGAAGGTCCAAAACTGAAGGTCAAACAGTGAAGGTTACACACTGTAGATCAAACACTGAAGGTCAAATAATGAAGGTCAAACATTAAAGTAAAAACATTGAAGGTCAAACAGTGAAGGTCAAACAGGATCTAAGTGTGCTGATTAGAGCATATTTAACTAAAGGCCCCAGAGTTTTCATCTAATGTTGAAAAATGTAGATAGAGAAGCTGTGGTCTCATACAGTGTCATGGATCCAGTCCGCATTCAGACTATGGGCTAGAATATGTGAAAGAAGTGAAGTTTGCTCTATTCACACAAGGAGAGCTGTTGGTCAGGCTACTTCTTGTTGTGCCATTAACTCTTAAAATAGTTATTTCAATTCAACCTTAATTTCTACAGGTTAGTCTCAATGAGGCTCAAGGACTAATTTACAAGAGACCTGTTTAAAACAAAGAACACAGATGACAACAGCAGACAATCATAAAAAGCATGTGAAATGCACTCATTCATTCAACCTTTATTTATACACGTTAATCCCATTGAGCCTCAGGGACTCAAAATAAGTACAGTTCAAAAATATAAAAAATAAAAAAAAGTCAAGACTCAAAAATAAAAAGTAAATGGAAGAATTTATATAAAAAAAACAGCTACATTATAAAGCTGTATAAAGTACTAAAGACAGGAGCATGTCTGCGTTGATTTTTGCCATGAACTTAGCAGTTGTTTAAAGTTCCTTAGAGAGGTCAAGGTCGAGAGCTTGTTGAATCAAGTGGTTACTTATGTAGGCAAAACTAAATGTTTAACGACCTGTTAAAATACAGCAGAACGCAAGAAATGTCATTTACTTTATTCAAAAATTTGGGGGGGAGGACCCCCAGACCCCCCCACCACTACCACCACCACCACCAGTTTATCCCCCGACATTACAAATGCTTCTGACACCACTGGCCACTACATTGATTAACAAGTACACATATACAGTACCTGTACATTCAGGTCTCTCTTTTAAATGAGTCCCCGGGGCTCAATGGGATTAACCTGTATAAATAAAGGTTGAATGAACATGGTGTTCAAAGGCACTCGTTTCAACTCAGGATTGGCGGTTTGCTAATCGGGGGGTGGTGGCCTGGGATGGTATCAAATTCCCGGCCTGGATAAGTAGTGGAGATACCATTTAGTATTTGTACTACAAATCCTTTGGTGTCTTTACTTCCCTCTGTGGGTCAAATGTCTGCATATACTGGAACACAACAGTTCCATTAGTGAAGTTCAGAGTGGTCCGTCTGTAGCAGAAAACAGAGGAGCCTGGCTCACAACTTTAAATCAGCTCTTGTTAAATAAAAGAAGCAAATACTCTTAACGTATGTTTAGTTGACTTTAAAAAGTAAATATAATAGCAGCAGTATATGGTCTTTATAAATGTTATTTTCCACTGCTGACAGAAATCCGTTGTGACTGCGTATGATAAACAAACAAAATATAACAATTATAGTCTGAAAAATTGATAAATACAGACTTGAAGGGTACTTTTTAAATAAGGAAGAGGATGAATAAGGGGTTTGGGCTAAAGCCCCCAATGTTTCAAGACCCTAAAAACACCCCTGGATGACTCTATGCTACTACCACACCAAACATAACAATTATGACAATTTCACAGCAATCGATATTGTTCCTGAGCTATTTTGCTAACAGACAGACAAACAGTGGTTAAATCATTGTTGGTCACCTGTGGTTTTGGTGGTGGGCGATGGTCATGTTTCAGGGTGTGCAGCAGAATGTGAGTCCTTCAAGCTGAAGATGATTTCAGTCTTTATAGATAGAAAACATGAAACTGTCATCTTATTTTATATATATTTGTATGTATGTATAATTATTATTTTAATTTTTTAATTTTTATATTTTTAGGTTTGTGTTTCTGCTGGAAGGGTGTCTCCGGTGCCGAGTGAAGCTGCTGAGCCCGTGGATCAGAGCTGTCCAAGGAAAGACAGCTAGATGAAGGCAGTCAGGGAGACGTGAGTGTTTCATCATCATTCTCTTCTCTTGTTATTAATCAGCTGTTGAGACTTTCATGTCTCAGCTTCTCATCGACAATCCCAAGTGACTTTCCTCATCTATTTTTCTTTTCTATAAACGTCTGTGTTTTTGATGTCTCCATAAAGTCATGTTTTTCTATGCGCATGGATGCTGCGCTGCCAGCTGTGAGGGGCTGGCTCTGCCGCATGTGAAAATACAGCGGCACTCTGCTGCGCCCTGCTGGTTGTATCTGGAACTGCACTAAACTTCTTTTAATTTATTTCTTCTGTTTGTCTTTCAGGGAGGGGAGCTCTCAAGGCCAAAACTTTTCACTCAGCTGTATTACACAGACTTGGTCTTTCTAATCAATCTCTGAAGGATTTTAATGACCGTTTTGGTAATCCTTGGAACCTCCCCTTTCCTCCAGAGGACCCACACTGTCCTGTCTTGTCCTCAGCATGTCCAATCAAATAACTCTTCAACCAAGAAGTGACCTTTGATCTCTGACTGAAAACTGCACCAGGAGCAGCCTTCTGGGATGAAGGATGACATATCTGTGAAAATATGTGTGAAAAAGAAAACAATAATGCAAATTATTTTTTGGAAACTTCAGAAGGATTGACTCGTGAACCACGGCAAGCAGAAACTGCAGAGGAGCGTTGCTCCGTTCTTTCATCAGTCTGCATGGAGAGGCTGGCTGTGGGCTCAGCAGGCGAAGCTGTCAGCAGCTTCACCAAACACAAGACGATTGTTCCTGTTCCTTCTTTTATAAGCTGTGAATTCTCCGTTGATGTTTGCGAGCCATTACAGGTACAACTCGGAGACATCAGCGTCCATCAGACAGATTTTGTAAATAAGAATCGTCCTCATGCCCCCGACCTGAGCCTCTGTGCCAAAATTTAGCTTTCCACCTCATGGAAGACAAATATACTCTGTTTCTCTGAAGCAATGCTCCACCAGCTGTACCATTTAACATAAATTTGGACATTTGTTGTTGTTTTTTTAAGTATTCTTTTTAATATAATTTCAGAAAATGTCTCATTATCAGTTGGTGAGAAACCATCTGTGGACGTGTGCTCATCCAGAAAACAAGCAAACTCTACTTGTCTTTGTTTACTTTAAACTTGATAAATAAAAGTAGGAGTTTAAATGAGAGCTACTTTTTGATGATACATTCTGTAGAGGCAGGTTTTTTTCTCATAGCTTTTAGACATTTTACAACCAAGGTTGTGTTGTTTACATTTTGAAGCTCATATCTCTGTTTGGTTTCCTAAAAATGTGAACAGAATCGCCTCATTTGAGCTGAAAGATTTGAGCTCAGTGAGTGGATTCTTGTTATTTCTTGTCACTGTTCTTGTTGGGTTGATGTACGCAGGTAACCAGGTCGTTGTTGTTACAGAGCGTTTCTGTCTGTCACTTTAAAATCATCTGATCAGAAGAAACTACTGATGCAATGCACAGCGATGACTGTAGCCCTGCCTGTATGAGACAAACGGTCCAAAATATTTTGTCAAGTTTATTTATGGAATTCAGAACTGTGAAAAAGTTCAAAAAATGGATTTTTGTAAGTTTATGACACATACTGTATCCATGCCACTGTTCAGTCAAAAATAAAATATCACAGTTCCCACAGTTAGCATCACTTTTCTTTCTGTCAGAGAAAAATTGGAAATCTACAAAACTTTCAAAGAAATGGCTAATTCACGTTAGTGCTTACATATACATGAGCATCCCCAACAATTAGAACATTGTGAAAAAGTTCAATATTTGTTGTCCATCATTTCAGAATGTGAAACTCATATATTACATAGATTCATTGCATATAGAAATATGTCAAGCCTTTATTTAGTAGGCAGCTGTGGCTGAGTGGTTAGAGCAGTCGTCCTCTAATGGGAGAGTTGGGGGTTTGATTCCACCAGCAGTCACATGCTAGAGTGTCCCTGGGCAAGACACTGAACCCCTCATTGTCTGTGATGTGTGTCCCATCTGTGTGTGAATGTGATAAAGCTCTGATTAGTCTCTAGATTCAGATGATCTTTGTAAGGATGTAGTAGAGTGCTGTATGAATGGGTAAATGAGGACACAGTGTTGTAAAGAGCTTTGAGTGTCTTCATTAGATACCAAACCATACCAATTTTATTTCTAAAGCACTTAAAATACAACATAGCCGCTGTCGGAAGTGCTGTACAAAACTAAAAAAATTTTTTAAAAAAACAGTAAAACAATAAAAACAACTAAGTATAAATAAAAATAATCAGAACATCACAAGTAAAAGAATGCAACATTAAGGCAGAGATGCTAGCTCACTCTAGGTTAAAAGCCAATGAAAATAAATGTGTTTTAAAACAAGTTTTAAAAACAGAGATTGATGGGATAGAAAGGAGCTATATAAGTACAGTCCATTTATTTCAGGTCATTTTGATGATCATGTTTTACAAATAATGAAAAAAATAAACTTAAGGTCTCAGAATATTAGAATATTGTAAAAGAATCCAATACTCCTGGTGTCGCAGCCTGATCAGCTGATTAACTCTCAGACATGAGCTACAAATGTCTCATTCCTCAGGTCCAGCCACTCCTGAGCCAGAGACGTCAGAAGTGTCTTACCTGCTGAGCACCAAAGTCCATGTTCAATAATCCACTTATAAAATCCAACAATGTTCAGTCAGGTCATCTGGACGGTTTATTTTTTTGTGCTGAGACGTTTCACCCTGCATCTGGAAAGCTTCATCAGTCTGAGGGAACGTCCAACAAAACTGCTTCTCCCCCAACAGCTTACTCCAAAGTGGAAAAAAACAGTTACCGTATTTTTCACCCTATAAGTTGCAGTTTTTTGCATAATTTACATGCCCTGCGACTTATACGCCGAAGCGACATTTATGCATTTTTTTCCATATTTATAAACCAATTTTTGGATGAAATGTGACCGTTTTCAATTATTGACTGAAAATATTGAACACTACCATTTTCAGCCACTAGATGGCAGTCAAGTAGTGAGGTATGCCCTTGTATCAAGTAATAGGTAAAAGTGGCTATTAATGACACAACCGGCTTGCCATAGACTGACACCTTTGTCTGCCTGGTGCAATTCAGTTTCATTTCGTTGTGCTGCCCCGGTGAAATGCAGCTGATTTAACCATTAAAGCACATTTATTAAGTAAAAGTTCAACTGAGATACACATTTACTATAAAGTTGAGCTAACAAATAATTGTTTTTAGGTGTTTGTCTTGTTAAATTTTTGAAGAAATACACAGCAAGTCGCCTTCTGCGTGTTCATGTTTCTGTTTATTGACTTTTGAAAATGCAGCTGATTTGACCATCAAAGTGCATTTATTAAGGAAAAGTTAGACTGAGACACAACTTTACTATAATTTCAAGCAAACAAATAATTGTTAAGTGTTAATCTTGTTAAATTATTATTAAAGTCCTCCTGTTTCTGCTCCCACAGCCGCCATTTGGCAGCCCATCAATTTTTGGCACAACACCGGCCCATATTTCCGGGTTGTCAGCGGTGACGCGTAACAAATGCGATGCATCAGCGATGACGCACAATAGATGTGATGTATATGACGAAGCGACATATTTATGGATTTTTCCAAATTATTAGACATATTTGGATTGATGCGACTTATAGGTGTGACGTGTATGATGGAAAACACGGTATGTTGGTGATAAGATGGCCTCTGGGGCACGCTCTCTCCTCCGGTGCCCGCCCTCTCCCTCGTCGACAGTCACGCCAAACTGGTTCAAAACACCAAAGTCAATGCTCAGTAATCCAGGTATACAATCCAACAATGTCCAGTTAGGTCATCTGTACATTTTCTTTTTGTTGTTTCTTGTTTCTTCTCCTGTTGAAAAGACGAAGAACTGGACTGTCTCTCAGTGGTGCAACATCCTCTTTTCAGATCAAAGTACATTTTCATGTCATTTGGAAATCAAGGTCCCAGAGTCTGGAGGAAAAGTGGAGAGGCTCATAATCCACGTTGTTGAAGTCCAGTGTGAAGTTTCCACAGTCAGTCATGGTTTGGGTCCATGTCCTCTGCTGGTGCTGGCTCACTGTGTTTTCTGAAGTCCACACAGCATCTAGCAGGACATTTTAGAGACTTCATGCTTCCTTCAGCTGACGAGCTTTAGGAAGACGCTGGTTTCATTGTCCAGCAGGACTCGACACCGGCCCACACTGCCAAAGGTACCAAAGGCTGGCTGTGGAATATTCTAACTTTCTGAGAGACTGAAGATGGCTTTTCATTATCTGTGAACCACAACCATTACAATGACAAGACGTAAAGGCTTGAAACATTTCACTCTGTGTAAAGAATCTATGTAATAAATGAGATTCACTTTCTGAAGTGATTGGCAAAAGAAAATAACTTTTTCACAATATTTTAAAATTTTTAGATGCAAGTGTGTATACAAACATACACACAAGCACCGTCCCTCTTCAAAACATATATTTTCTCCAGGTGCTCCGGTTTCCTCCCACAGACCAAAAACATGCATGTTAGTCTGACTGGTAACTCTAAATTGTCTCTAGGTGTGAGTGAGAGAGTGAATGGTTGTTTGTCTCATTTGTCTCTGTGTGTCCCTGTGATGGACTGGAGACCTGTCCAGGTGTCTCTGTGATGGACTGGAGACCTGTCCAGGTGTCTCTGTGATGGACTGGAGACCTGTCCAGGTGTCTCTGTGATGGACTGGAGACCTGTCCAGGGTGTTCCCCGCCTCTCGCACACTGACTGCTGGATCTAGACCAGCTCCACCCTACAACCTGGAAGAAGGAAATGGATGTCTACATTATGACAGGAAGTGAAGACTAAAGGCAGCAGGGTCTGTCCTCTGCCAACAGACTGTATAAATCTTCTTTAGCTTTGTGTAAAGCTGGGGCAGGTCATCATAAATCCTAGTTATTAAGTACTGCTCCAGGTGAAAACAGCTATTTGTGTAAAAATGAAAGATATCATGAGACCATTACTGAATCACCAACAGAGGTTAAAACTTGTAGTGACTCATTTCACTGATGTGGACCAGCCAGATTCTCCATATGTCCCAAGATAAACTAATAAAAAACTGGAACAGGACTAGATGAGTAGAAACACAGGACTTTGTTTCCCAAACTAAGACCTTTATCTTCTTATAAGTTATGTATTGCAGAGAAAATATGCCTTATTTCTTCGAACTGCAAGTAATTTTTTTTAATTCAAGTCATTTGATTCAAGTCATTGTTAAAGACGTTTAATTCAAGTCATTATTTGATTCAATCATTGATTCAAATCATGTTTTGATTCAATACATTGTTTGATTCAAGTCATTTTTTGATTCAAGTCATTATTTGATACAAGTCGTCGTTTGATTCAAGTCATTGTTTGATTCAAGTCATTGTTAGA